TGAAATCTGAACTACTTTGGGATTCGTACCAGGGATCAGATATAAGCCCACGCTCATTTCATCACAGGGGTTCGGCGGTGAAACACCCCAGTTCATTCGTCAGAATGACGATGTTGATGAGAACACGAACCTTAGCAGAAGTCTAGCATGGAAGTTCGAGGAAGTTTCTTAACAGTGGTCGTACTTTCCTTCCAAAAACAGTTCGCAGGAAAAGATTACTGGATCTCACTCTTTAGGTAAATAGTACTGAACAAGTTGTAAAGTACACCACGCCTAGACGTAATACACTACTCACAAAGCTACTGAGAACATGACAGCCCACTACCGGTCTCGCTTTCTTCAGAATTATCGAGTAAGCTCAGCCCCCGAGTTTGCGTCAGCCATTTTCTCTGATTAGATCCTAGTGGAATGCAGTTCTTCAGTTGCACACTAATCTGATATCCCGAATACCATGACAACTGCAACCTAAGGCAGCACATTCAATTGTAGAGCGCGAAATTCAGCTTTATCCAGTCGGGACTCACGTCGAAACCAAATTAGTGTGTTATTGTAAGTATTCGGCGCATACCGCATCTGCTGTATCGGATGTCGCCAGAACGCATTTCTCTTGGCTTGTGTTATTGATGTTCCTATGGGGGCTAGGATACAAAGGGAACGTCTATTTTCATCACACTGCACATAATGCGCATCTATTCCAAACGTCCCAAGACGGCTACTACGATCGCATAAGCGGAGAGCACCAATTCAGAAGCAGCTCTGGTATTTTATTGACACGACGCAATGGATGAACACCGCATGACCTCTGGTAGTCTTGATGATTTTAAAAGATGTCCGTGGGTCACTTAGTAGTGGACATCATTCCAGGGTCATTCTGTCAGCTAGAACGTATCCGTCGGAAAATATCTATATGATGACATGTCTAGTGACAGAACGTGACAACTGTGCAATGTCTAATTTCCACAACGCTTTGAAAGTGGTGTCCAAAGCTGTGGAATATATAACTAATCGTTGATCTGACAAAATGCCGTCTATCTGACCACACAGCCTGTTGCTTCGCACACGCCCATGAATGTCGGAGAGTTATTGGTTGAATACTGACTGACAAAACGGTAGAGCCATTGATTCACGGACGACGTTATATTCCACCTGGAGAGAGGGAGAGTTTAAAGAGAGTCTTTCCCTCTGTTTCAGCTCACCACCAATTCAGCATTATTAGAAAGAACATGTGCTTTCCCGACTTGACTACCAGCCAGCTACAACACTTATTTTTCAAAGTCCTGTCAGTAAAAGGAAATTCAAGGGGCCTGATAAAAGTACAGTGGAACACAGTCCTTTGTCCACATCTCCAACCCCTAGTCAGACAAACTGACCGCTGGAACTTCAACAAAAATGTTTGTAATCACATCCTGCAGAATCATTCACCAAATAGCGAGGGGAAGGTCAGGTCAACAGAGCACACAGACTCTGGTGACCTGCTTCAACCCATGCACAATGGTTTTGATGCTGTACACAACGCAGGAGCAATCATAACTAGCCCGTATTTGTTGACTCATGCACACACAACCAGAACCAGCCGTTACGAGCTTTGGTTGATAATACCCACATCAACTGTCGAATAAAAATCTTCATGTCTAATTGTGATCTCTCCAGCACTTCTCATCAGCCATCTAGCGACCAACCGACCGCTTTATATGAATAAAAGAACTGCCCATTGATAAAGACAACCGTTGCATAAAAAAGGAACAGAAGTAACCCAAATGAAGAACAGCACCATGTTCTGGGCGAACACAGGAAAACCTGAAGCAGATTCTGTGCACAAAACGTACAGGATAGGCCAAGTAATGCGTGAGCACGCAGAAGCCTAAAGATAAGTTTAGGCGAAGCGCATGAAGTCTCCAGTCGGGTGGACCAATCAGGAGTGAGTATGCACAGGTGCGTGTGCGTTGACACAAGATGTTTTTTTACCAGCGTAGAGAAAAAGAAGAATCCGGAAAGGGAATGAAACAAAAAGTATGGAGTGATGATTGTGGACACAGCGATGACTGTTTCATTTTATATCCCCAATGAAAAAGGATCGGGCCAGGAGACTGTGGAAGCTTGATTCACGGACAAACTGCAGCCGTGTGTGGGTCATGTGTGCATCCGAGAAGTCTCCACCCCGCTAGAGTTAATGAAGCAGTTTTGTTTTAGCACGCGATTGTGATTTATGTTCAGTGTTACGACATACCCATTATTTCCCTGATGCGCTTATCATAACTTTACCCATAAACGCGAAAACGTGCATAGAAATAGTTGACTTCCTGTTGGTGAAACTTGGAGACGTGATGGTTTGTTAAACACGCTAGCCACATCGTCAGGTTTGTAGCATAAGGTGTTTTCTTGATCTAGATTGACAAGTAGTAAGACTCATCCGACATATTAGCATCCACCAATTAGTCTGTCCGTACCACGTCCTTTTGATCAAGCAATACACGGATGTTAATCTGAACCACAAAGTCGGTTTTGGGTTGCAACTACAATCACCGTGTCACAGAGTCACTCGTGCCATACCTTCCAGTATGAGCATCAAACGGGTTGAAATGGCAGTAAGGTACTGCACAGTAATCTCCATAATTTAGCCACAAACGCATCACATCATCAGTTCTACTGTGTGCTTACAATCGATCGACTAGTCCGATCAGAGGATCGCGATGGTTGAAATATAAAACTTGATTAGATATGCGATGCCCAGGGACAAGATTTACACAAACCATTGGGTTTCTATACCCTCCATGCGAGAGAACCTGACCAAGAGTATAAAGTTGTCTGAGCGTAGTCTGTGGGAGGACGAGTTCGATTACAGTTCGATTGCTTCACTAATCCGCCTGTTTTATCATAAATCCGATTGTTTTAACCGTGTATTATTACCAAAAACAGACCTCCGTCTGAGTGAAGACTGATAAGGGATCAAACCATCTAGGTTGTGCTGTACACCAACACAAGGCTCAAGACAGTTAATCATGGCGTAAGATTGGTCAGGAGCATTCGTATATGTTAATGACACGCAATACTCAATGTGATTTTGTGAAGACTGAGAGACTGCGTGAGAAGAATCAAATCTTAGCTGTCCTCATCAGAGTGCATGAATAGGTTTAAGGGAGAAACTATTCAGGAGCATCTGGACCATTGAAAGACTGGTAGAAAAGCAATACCACAATCTAATACAAAATAGGGTTTTTATCCAATTCAAAGATTTAACTGGAGCTATGCAAAACCGCATGCGGACAAGCCACCGTCCGGTCAATCTCTCCACTTCGGGGAAAATGCATTTCCTTCGAACCATACAAGTCATCACTCCATTGTTTGCTGATTGATTCATTGTTCATCTCTGAGTGTTATTACTACCCATCACGAACAACCTATGTATTCGCAATTATTTGATTGTTGTCTTGCTGCGTTTACCAGGAACTAATGTTTTCTGCGGGGTCGTTTTCCTTGGGATAGCCTACACTAATGACAACTGCCCCTCCATAGATTAAAACCCAGTGTGGTCGGTTGGTTCCGGGTGCAAATTGGTCATCATGCCCCTAAATGTCTTGAACAGGCAGAACTCAGTCTACCGTGGTTTAGCCAACAGGCGGCAGGAGGTCAGTGTCATGGAAGGAGCTGTATGATGGTTGTTTTGTGTATGTTTAAACGCAGTGCAGTTTTCCTGGAGGATACAGAATGAATTAAATTGACCAGGAAAAGTGTTCGCAAGGTTTTTTTTTTAAAGTTGAGTCCAGGGGATGCAGAACATGAGGATTGCCTAAACAGTTAGTCATTCTGACGATTACCAAGATGGGGTCTTTAAATTGTACTCTATTTTTCACTATCAGAATAGGCTTTCTGACTCCGAACTTCATCTTAGGCATAGTTTCCCGTGCAACCTCTCAGGCGGTATGCCTTAATTGGGGCAACTTATTCGAACTTGCAGAGATTTAGCCACATAGTGAGTATGGCCATCGCTGTCTACTTTTGACAGCTCTAATCATGGGCGTGGGTTGACGATAAACTGATCGCAGGAAGGAATGAAAAATGATGATTATTCAGAAAACCAAAAATGAACCAATGATGCTTAAGGTTGGAAAAATCTGGTTTCAGTAAGACGAATTGAAAAAATCCCTGGGCACCGGTAAAATTGGATGGTTAAGTGAGAGGGTCCAAAGCACAGGTACAATGACAACTTGGTTTGATTTTCCCCCTCAATTGAAAGCGAAATCACGGGACAAAGTAAACCCTGATGTCAGAAGATCTTTGAAAAACACGGACAGAAATAATACGCAACGAATTCTAAATACGGATGACAAATTCCCTCCATGAATCTGCCCCTGAATTCACGTTGGTTTATTCCCGCGGCTTGCAAAAAGGCAAATTGACTTAGCGGCTCGGAGTAGCGAGTCACATTAGGCTCCAATGCGTTACGCGGTGGTACCTCGCTGGACGGTGGCGTAAGCTTGTAAATACTGCAACACGACGTGGGTTCCATTCAGAGTAAGGCACTTCTTTCTGACACACCTGGATTACTATGTAACCATGTAGACCTACCAGCAACTTTGTGAGAACTGGAATGGACACAACGGCGGCTACTTTTATACGGGGGAAAATACATTTGATATATTTGAGTATACAGGTCTAAGAAGTGACGTCTTAGTGAAAGAATATAAAATGCTACTACGAATGGTTTTTAAGCCTGCTTATGACAACCTCAAATGATAGCCGATAAGATAGGTCCCTCCAAAATGGCGCAACTCTCATGGAGTGTCCTTGACCCCCTAATATATCATCCTGTACAAAGGAGACTCAGTTTCCCAAGAAAGGTTAACTATCCCCGCTTCTCTATAGTTCTTTCAGCGAGCACACCTATTTTAGATGGCCTTGTCAAGTTTCTGTTTGAGTTACCAACTTCCTGCCGAAAAATGAACAGGAGGGAGCACTCTTATATGTAGACCACTCGTAAGCCCCGTCTACAAAAATGAAGGAAAAAACGAGAATACTGCCGTTGACTAATACGCATTTGGTTACGACACCATCTATAATGTCTACCTTTATGGTAGAGCTGATGTTTCGATGCCGTACACCTCTGTAGATCACATCGATCGGCTCCCGCATCAGTCATTAAATGAAGGCTTTGTCTTACAAGTAAACGTGATGAAGCAAGACTTTAGTAAATACTTGTGTAATGCAGTTGAAATCAACAAAGAAAACCCCCGGTCTTCGATTTGCCGAACTGAATAATTCTTGTCGCCACAGAAGTAGTCGGCATAGGGGTTGAAAAAGTCGTTGAAAATCGTAAAAAAACCGGCTCTACTTGCAACTGCGTTGTCGCCAGAAAAATGCACTAAAACGCTCATGTGAACCGCCATTTATCTACGACGAAGCCGAATTCATGGGCAAGCATACACGAAAAGAAACACGCATATACGGATTTGAATGAAGCCCCGAGTGTTTAGTCGGAATCTGTCATTCATTTTGACCTAGATTCCAGTAATAATCTCCAGTATCTAGTTTTTGCTTGCTTTGTCGAACAATTCACGACACAATCGATTACTGATATAAAAAGGAAATAAATACTAGGTGAACCTATAGCGGTCCGAGTATAGATTAGGGAGCCGGCGAACTAATGATATGGTAATAAACACGTGTTTGCTGCACCTGATTGTCGAACTGGTAGTTAGAGCCTCGAGTTATTGGTCGTCCCTGTATCATCTACGCAGACGTCGGGATAATCGCATCGATTTCTTGAGGCAACTAAGTAATACTTATTTGATTATCGGAATAGTCCAAAAGCAGATTAATCGATCATTGTTATCAGTGCGGCACGACATCAGTGTTCGACACTGATACCTCATTGCCTTTCAACTACAATTTATTCAAATACTTTATTGGGACAAAAAGAATAAAAGTGGATGAGGATGGAACCTAATGCTAGGTCAACACGATCATTTCAAGGTGCTCACACCTCCAGACGCTCATTTGCAGACCCTGAAACCGACCACAAACCCCACTCACTTCGATTAGGAGCGTCTCTATCCATGCACAAAGGAGATGATGCATACCTCATCCCGGAAGGTGAGTCGCGCCAACAATACTAAAAAATTTTCGATATCACTAAATAAGGAAGACGGAAAACAGTAATTTCTCAGCTAAAAAAATCGATTTTCGATATCTCTAAGCCGAACAAATCGAACCACGGTTCACTTGAACTTTTTTCATGAGGGATCATTTTCCCGAGAATACGCTTTCCGCACAGCTCACATCGCTCCCGTTTGCAGAGAACACCACTCATGATCTGTCCCGTTAAGTTTGCGTAAGAACTCTTGTGGACTGATCCACCACATCCAGTTCAGATAAAGTTGGTCCGAAATCATCGCCGTGACGCTAACCAAAACACATCCAACTTGTTTGCCAGGTTGAAGTAATAAACTAGAAGCGCTGAACTCAGGCCACTCCTACGAGACAGATATATTGGACGAATCATCGCGTCCGCAAGGTAAACCTTCATTACGAACAACGGGGATAAAAGGTTAGGCAAGTCGGGCTGAATGGAGAAGAGGTTCACATGGCTTGACACGGCGCGAAAGTGTATCTGGTTTCAAAGTCAAGCAGTCGTGGATTTCTCCCAGTCCCTAACTCCGATTCGTACGAGTTACACAAATGTTGAGGATAGGAAACATTGTACCCGCTACTCGATCAAACTAAGTGAACACCGGTGTAGCCCATTTGTTGCATGGAATGTCGTAGTGAAGCCGTAGGAGGCACAATCCAGTGAAGGGCTGGCTAGCGAGTGAATGTGGATTAAAGGCTGCATTTTTTCAATCCAGTCAGGTACCCTTATATTATCCTTTGAGAGGAATGGTTTGCAATAGGAGTAACCTCTCATCATCACTACCACCTGTGATAACCGCGTACTCGTTGTAAGGTGGTTGTAGCTGCCGCAGCTTCGTTTGGGGGGAGGGGTAGGTAGGTGCGCATTGCAGGCGGGAGCTGATAAATTGGTGCATAAATTCAGCACTGTCAGGGGACTGACAAGTGGGGGGAATGGGAAAGGAGCTATGCATTGAAGGCAATAGCTTGGATTCACGAGCGCCATTGAGGGCGCGACTGGGCCGTATCTGACAATTCCTCTAACCGTCTCGAGGTTCCCATCCAGGAAGACGGCAATGACCAGCGCAGCTAAGTTTGCTGGCAATGGGTTTTATACTTCTCTGCCAAGTCATTGTTTGACCGCCTCTGGCTCTCTTTCACTCATAACGTGGTTGCACGAAAAGAGCCCTTTGAGGAAGTCGGTCGACTGGCAAACGCAGCACGCGGCCAAGCCAGCGCAACCTATGCAATGCGATCAGTTCATCTATCGAGGGTGAGTTATTTCTTCCGAATACCATTCGACGAACTCCAGCATTGCTGATCCGGTGTTCCCACCAGATTCGGGGAATGCTCCGAAGACATCTATGGTCAAACACTGAAAGTCTTTTGATGTCCTCGGCGCGCAGAGGCCAGGTTTCTGATCCATATAGTAATATGGAGCGCACCGCAGCATTGTAAACTCGACCCTTGACAGAGAAGCTGATGTCACGCCATCGCCATAAGTGACGTAGGTTCACGAAAGCTGCTCTGGTCTTCCCAATCCGGATGAAAATATCATCAATCGCGATACCACCGGAACTGATACAGCTGCCCAGGTAAACAAATTTGTCTACTACCTCAATCAGTCCATCCGCAAGCATGAGACTAGGGTTCGAGCCCACCCAGTCTTGCAGTAGCACTTTGCACTTTGCAGGTGTGAAGCGCATGCTGAACAGCGAGGCAGAATTATTTAGATTATTCAATATTGTTTGCATTACGACGGGGTCAGATCCAAGAATAACCTCTAAGGTATAAACTGTCTTCTCAAATCGTCTTCTCGGTGAGTGGTACTCATGACATAGGTTGCTGTGCCAAAAATATGATAGCAAATGTAAAAAAGAATGTGCATTCAAAACGCGAATGTTTTTCAGTGTGAAAACATACATACCAAAATTCTCCATCATCCTCAAATGTGAGTCCAACCAGTTTTCTCGTTTCAGCTGGAATCTGGTTCCATTCCGGTGACTTGTCGCTCCATGCACCTTTCCATTCGGCCTCGTCACCCCAAGGATTACGTACGCGGACCAAAGCGACTTGGTGGGCCGTGCTGGTGTCAATCTGATACATACAAATATGTGTTACAAGGCTGTCGAAAAAACCTGATGTCGGCAGCATCGAAAAGAATCCAGAAAAAAACATTTGATCGACAAGAATGAAGAGGTTTGGAAAAAATTCTGAACAGAATGAAACGGTTCGACGTAGCAGTTCCCAAAGTTGGTTTTTTTTCATTCTCTTATATGAGATAATGCCCGAAACGGGGTCAATTGACTACCAGTGGTAGTCCCGTGTAGCCTGAGCTTATTCACAGTTCAATAGAGGTTAAATGAATTCTGTATGAATACCGTGAGTTCGTCCAAAGAAAGCGCCGAAACTATGGGCCTTATGAATCCTAAAAGAATCTCCCTGTGCATGCTACGAAAGTACCAGTTATCGAAGTGTGGACCACTTAAAATCCAATGAGTTTGAGGAGACTAGTTGGGAAAGTTGCAAGTTTTGACCACCTATTGTAATCAGTGATATCTCTACATACAGCGCGTGTGACAGTACTGTCTTGCGTATTGAAAGCACGCTTCCTTTCTACTGCCTCATCTCATCCTTCTTTTGTCAGTTTACAAAATATTGTCGACCAAAACATACCATACCCACTGATCATACCTTTTTCTTCCTGTGCGATATGTGAAAACCATCCACTAGAATTATACCACAATGAGAATAACGTTCTGAAGGCCCAACTGGGTCCAGTTAAGCAGACAGTCAAGCATTTGCATTAGCAATGCATGTTTTCAGATTGTTGACTGGGGACAGTAAATTTGATTCTTCATGTGGACATTCTGGTGATTCATTCAAAGCGTCAGCGTGTATACTGGCAGAACAGTCACATGACTCTAGAATTTAAACAGCCATTCTTCCATCGATGGGAAATCACCAATCTATGCTCCAATAAGCTTCAGCTTCACATTAAGCCCCTGTATAACATGCCTGGGAATCCGCAAGCGCCAAACAATCGCACGCAACGGATAAAAGCGAGGAAGACTCGCAGCACCTGGGCACCTAACCGTGCACAATCTCGTACTGTGTCCCAAGAGGTATTTCCGGTTTAAAATGACAGTTTATGAACCAGAGTCGGCCGATATCGCCAGTTTGTTTCCAAAAAGCAGCACGGTGTCGTCCCATGAAAACAAGTCCGATAGGACTGAGCTCTAACTGAGCTTTCCAATAGAGAACTTGCAAATAATAGTGTTGCTGAAAAGGGGATACCTTCGGAACTAGACAATATTGTCCTACATTTGGGATCACGATCTCTTTAGAAGTTTAAAATGGCCGTACGTTGTGCACTCAACTTCGGAGCATTGCGCACCAGTGATTAAATATCGTGTTCTTCGAAGTGGTGATTTTTCTACTGTTGCTTGATTATACCAAGTACGAACTCTGAAAAAAGAGAAGAGTGTCAACATGCCTAATCGCTTATTTGGAACGGAGTGCTTGAGAGCTTTCAGATATTCTTAACTTATGTCTGAGATTGGTCATTCCTTGCAGTCACTAGCTGCCACATGCAAGGAGTAGACCAAACAAACTATCATCGGACTGGACCAACACGAGACGTCTCACTCGACAGAGGTAACCGACCAACACAAGGAAGCATGGAGATAAAAATCGAAAGCGCCTTTTTCAAATACCATCTTTTGGTTGCATATTACATGTCGTATCTTGCGCGGATTGCTGTGGACCTCTTACATTTTTGTAAATCAAGAAGAAAAGTTTGAAGAGAAAGCCTCCACAAAAACAGTGCAGTCCAACAAACCCAAGTTCTTTTGAAGAAAACGGCGAATTCTGTCACTAGTCTCCCACTTATACCCGGATTCCAACTCAAACCACTTTTGTCCATTTCTTTCCAACCCGATTTACTAACGTCTTGTTTGGTAGGGGAGCACTTTTGGACTTCATTGTTCGTAGCGAAAATTTAGTCAGATGGAAGGTAAAAGTGCAATTTTTATAGTCTTATGTCCCCCAGGTCTGAGAAATTTGGCAACAGACCGCGAATCTGTGAGCAAGTCGATCATTATGACTTCCGATGGGATTAGGCAGCACAACTTGTCCATGATGCAGAAGACAATGTTGATTTTTTGAGGAGAGTTGGACATTTTTGTCGATGTTTCCTGCTATAGGTGAGAATAATTTATGCTGAAAAGCCGAGAAGCACTATATAGTTGTGTAAACCATCAGCATTGCACATCTAACGAGGCTTAGCAACTTTCGAAATGTCAACTTCCCGGCTAATGGTTTGAACACTCGATCGTTCAGTCACGACCGGCTGATCGGCAACGTGATTAAGTCCCCTCAGGTACAATACAGCGCCAGTCATCCTTCAATCACGGAACCCACATCATGTGCATAATGCAAGCCAACATCTGCTGTGTGCGACGTAGCAGTCAGCATCATGAACAACCACAATAGCACTCAAACTGTGGCTGTCCACCGATTCCATGGTCCGTTTTGGCGCTCGTTTCATGCAGTAACTCCGAGTGAGCAGTGCTGGAATGAACATTCAATTTAGACTTAGGATGGAAATCTGAGGAATAGGCCTATCTGATGAGACCAAAGAAGGCCGAAACAAGAAGCCAGTTGTCCAGAGTTTCATCTGGCGCTATGAGTAGTATTGACAGACAGCACTGTATTTACCATGCTTAAAACCTCTCTTTAACCAGGCGGATTATATCNGTTCTATTTTTCTAGTAGCCTTCTTACATCACATCCTACCTTCTTCACCGAAGTAATCGCTGGGACACTCAGATTCGTGATGTGTTTTGAGGCATCGAATACAGTGTTGAAATAGGGAGGGAAGCATACATCTCTTGAAAGCTCCTGGATTGAACACAGATCTCCAATGCTAGGTTGAACTCCCTGCAGAAAATTCGCCTGAAAAGTACTCTTAGTACGATCAGTGCACAGTGATAGTAACGGCCTGAAAAGCCGTTTGCAACCAAATGGACAAACTAAAGCAGTGGTTGGTTCTTAGATCTCAAATGCTGGAACTAGTTGCTATTTTGTGTTCTTCAGTTGTTGTATTGTGGTAAGAACGCTTTCGCAGAAGATTTCAACTGCTTGAATCCTTAACGGGAAAGCTTATAACAGAGCTGCAAAGTCAAAGAGAGATTTCTCTAACATTCTTGGTATATGTGGCATCTGAGGTACACCATCGTCAGGCCTAATTTCTTTAGTTGTTATGGGCACCAGACAAAGAAATCCAGGACTCTTGGCGTTGCGGTGCTCCTTGGATAGGATAAAAACGCATGATGGTATTTTCACCGAAGTTACTCGGTTTAGTATTATTGTGTGAAAGAATTTCGTGCACTTTTGAATGCTGTTTCAACGAAATCCTTGAGATAACTCAGTGTAAAACCCACAAACGAGGTAAACGTAAGCCGTCTATTCATGATCCTCACGTCTAGTGGTGTCCAAACACTGGTCTGAAATCCAAAAAAAGTACACACCTTCCAGAGCATCTTAGCATCAGACTCAATCGAGACGATTCGAGGCTCGTCTAACAAAATCCCGGAAATTGCATTAAGATAGTCTTTTGGAAAAAAACAGGATGGCTTAGCAGGAAAAAGGTATCGATAAGATGTCTGCGAATGCGTAGAACACGGAACATTACTACCTTACTGATACTACAGTGTGACCCTAGCACAGTGTTACCTACCTCTTGTGTCCGAATACAAGTTCAGAACATCAAACTCGATCACATGTTGTCATATCACATGTGACCACTGTCTAGATCGACGACAACGAGTGATATCCGAACAAATTTCGACTTAGAGGATCACATATGCATTGGTTTTATCGGTCTCGCCGGGAATCCCACCAGCATTTCAGGTGATCATCTGGTAGCTCCAAACTAGTTTACAATGGAACACCTGGTTCGGCAAATATAAACTTGAAAGAAAAAAGGCACAGTTGCGAGGGACCCAATCAGTGGTTTCTATCGCTGCATAGAGACTGTCCAAATGACGCTTGGGTGACAAATCAAACAATTACTATTGAGGAAACCATTTGAAAATCAATTTACCAATCTCTGGGCAATGCGAGCATAACGTGCCAAAAGACGTTGCTTAAACTGATGTAAAAACACACGACTGAGTTGATATCCGGAAATCACCACCACGATGTCTGCCATACCATTTTCGAAGGACTGAGAATCAATATACAATAAAAATTGATCGATATCAAGACAAATATGCAGAAAATTTCTTCCTGACCGGTGTTTGTTTTCCCTAAGTGTATTGATTCTACCCTACACTAGGGAACGCCGCATAGACGCACTAAGCGAAAAACAACACCGGAAGAATGGGCAAAAACTTGACACCTGTATACAGTGTCCAGCGTGGTTTCTTGTTTCTTGCTGACGACGAAACGCCACGTCGATCCCAATGCAGCTGAGTCATTCGGTGTGCCTTTGTGTCAGACTATGTTCGTGGGGTAGAAGCACGAACCAATAGGTCTTGGCTAAATTCCAACTGCTAAATCAAGAGAATAAGCGCACTGCGTATCGAAAAGTCACCGGGTTGATTTGGAAGGAAATACAAACAACTGTCTGGAGGTTGTCATTCCATTGAAGTCAAGTGAGAGAACCTTTGAACATAAACAATGAGGTTGGGCTGATCACATTCGCCGCTCTTTATCAACTGCGCGTTGCACCAGGTAGCCTCATGTTTCAGTTGATGCGATATTCGAGCCATTGCAATACATAGTTTAGACGTAATACACTACTCATAAGGTTGTTGAAAATTCTACGACAGCCCACAACCGGCTTCACTCTTTTTGGAGCTCATCAAGTAGATGGAGTCCCCGAGTTTCCGTCAATCTAAAGTTCTACTAGGACAGCACATTCAGTTGAGAAAGAACATCCTAAAGGATTTAGCTGGATTCCAAATAAGTCTCTCATGGAAACCAAATCGGTATGCAGATGAGTGTGTAAAATTCAAACAAACAGATTTTTCAAAAAATTGAACAATTTACTCTAGGTTCATTAGACTATTTTATAAATCTAGAGTTTCTTCCTCTACACCAAGTGGAACACTGAAAACGTCCAACCAGCTGCTTGACCTATCTATAGGGTGGAGTTTCGTAATCCTAATTTGATTTTTTTGACTTGATCACGACAAAGCTTGAAAAGGAACCATGTCCAACTGTGTTGGTAAGCGGATTGAGGGGTAACTCCAAAACTGCATTTTCATTTCTATCAGATATTTTGGAATTGAGTGTTATAGTCAACCAAAGTGGAACTGGAAGCATACGTGTAAGAGGTAAGCAATCGTGCGCAGAATCGCAAATCCCAATTGGTCTGTGATCTGTTGCCCGGATAAGGTACCCAACGTGCAACAAATAATAAAATCAACTAGAGATTAGTCGACTTCGCTTTCAGTTCAGTCAACCAAAACACAATCAAGACACGTAGCTTACCATTTTCACAGAAGTCACCGAATAGGCGTGACCCATAATTAGTCCGTTGGGTAGCCGCGCTTCGTATCGGTTCGGATCGGCTTGTATGCTACAGGCCATGAGAGAGCACCGTTCCTGACTTTTCAGCATAATCTTGAACAAGTCTGGTGGGCACTTACTGCGCAATTCAAACATCTCGGCGATGCCACCCGTGAAGTCTTCCAATGCCTCGCTAGTGGTCCCGCCTTTGAGTGCCTCGTAGGAACCGCAAAGTCTGCCACGGATAGAAAAGTCTGGAGGTGTTCAAGTAATACCGATACACAAAATGTTTTAGAGACACTCAACATACTAGGAGGTTGAAATCTGGTTCTCAACATTCTTGGATGAACAGATCTTAGCATAATCGCCGTAACTTCAGCCGCTAACATCAGTCTGGATATTGATTCTTCAATCAAACTTCTGACGCGTTAAAATGGCTGTTCTGATTGAACTGGGCCAATTGCAAGTAGTGCAGTCAATCAGTCATCCGTACTGCATATGCTGAAGCATTGTGGGCATGGTCTATCCCCGTGTGATCACCTGTGCATGGTTGCTGTGTGTGTGCGCATTAAGACTAAGCAACTATTCTATCTCATTTCGATCAAGCATGGGACATCTTTGTCCAGTTGCTCAACTCCTTTTACTGCGACCAACTTCTAAGATAGGAGTCAGTCCCATCTAAGTTGCGAATCCGTGACAAGGTCAATGCATACCACGGTGGAGTCACTCGTGCAGCAACGAACAACATGAATTACGGGAAGCTGAGAAACATCAACCTCAGACCGAGTGGTAACAAGCCACATTGTGACCTGGCCTCTGTTAGCAGTAGCACTGAACTGAGCAAATTATTGCAATGGATAGCTTCTTCATTAGATCGTCATCAACTTTGCAGAGGGTATTTTCAATCCACTGCAGCCTGCGGCGTAGGAAGTACACAAAAAAGTGTGCTATTCGGAAGCAGCGTTGGCCAGCCCCGTGGTTAGGTAGTCGATCACACCAGTACACTTCAGGTGATCCTCGTTCGCCAGTTGCCCTACATTTCTTTAGCTCCTACCGAGCAGGTACCGAATCCACAAAGCCGGATGGGACGGATGGACCTGAACCTCGTTTCGGTTTCCAATTTTCTTTCCGTGATATAGTACAACCTCCAGTGGAAGAAGAGTTCTTACAGAACTGTGTGGATCCAGTCATCATTTTGAACAGATATATCTTAGGGCTAAACCACTGCGATCTCAGAACTCCCAAGCAAAACTGTTCATCGGAGTGATAGAAAAACGCTCTTGTTTTTGGTACCATTAATCTTCTGTCGAACCGGATACTGTCAAATTCGTTATCTATGAGGACGTTGTCACTGTCATAATTTACGTCAGTATCTGTGAGCTATAACTTGGTTTTACGCCATGAAAGTCCCAAAGTTACTGTCTCATTGTCCTTTGGATGTCGTCGTTGGAAAGCATCATAGCTTCTGCCCTGTGATGTGCATAATGAAGTGTCTAGGCTCTTCTCTTTACACCCACTCTCAGGTTATGGAAACTTAGTGGTACAACTTCATCGGATATAAACTTTGTGACTTTGCGTTCTATGGCAAAACGGGGCTCACAGAGTCGTTGACATTTGTTTTAAATCTTGCTTCACTGAAGTACGTTGCGGTTCTTGATTAACTGCAGAAAAATAGAGTTCTACGGTGAGAATGTGGACCTTACTGGAGTCGACAACAGAGCACAAGACTAGAAGTTAAATCCAGTTGGAAAGTACAACGTTATGAGGCTCCAAGGGAGTTCTTATTTTATAACGGGGCTTATAGTTGACCAATTAAGGTCAACCTAGCAGATAAGTTATCCATCGAGTTTTGTCAGTCATTAGGAATTTGGAGAACGCTCCCCTCAAACTGCTGACATTTTCAGCCACCAACTCAACATTCCAAGTGATATTTAAAGCACCTTCATTAGAGAACAGTCGGTTGAGGAAAAATCTACCTAGCAGAACAATACCAAAACTGTGTCAGGTTTCTTGTTACAGTAAAAGCATCCGCAAGTCCCCGTAATCTACACAACCATAGATATCTCTAACCCTTGACAAGCTAGACGGTGAATTAGAACTCCTTATTGATGCCCCGAAAAGAATCGACGGCAGGGAAAGGTTTATCTCCGATGAATAAGGACTCCTTTTCGAACGGATTCGCGGGTGGCTGCGGGGGGACTAGTGTGTTTACATCTGCCTTTCAAGAAAAACGTCATCACCGTCTGCAGAGGAAAACAGCGATTGACGCAGCGCTAAGGCCAAGCACGAGTAATATTTAGAACCAGGTGTGTGACCCCGCCGCAACATATCTACAAAGCAGTATTTGTGTCGCACGGTACATACCATTAAACATTCCCCAAATTCTTTCTCATTATGCCTACTTAATCGATAAGTCGTATTGCCGTTGCAGAGCAATCGATTCTACCCTCCAAGTAGATATTCCTTCAGCCTGTCACAGTGGTAGATATGTGGGGCAACCTCGTGTGTTGATTGTCCTAAAATTGTCGAAACCAACTAGTCAAATTAAACAATAAAATGTAATCTTGAGCCCATCACCGCCCATGTGAACTAGGTGCGGATTACGTGCGCCATCCCTCTTAAATTTCGATTGTGAATAGTTGATGGCGGCACTCAGTATTCGCACAATGGGATGCAATTTTCGAAAGCTACTACGTGTCCCTGATGGACCAAAAGAGACTGCAAATTGAGTTCGAAGTACGTGTCCGAACCTTTGAGCCCCATCTAGGCATCTTGGGGTCTCAGCAGTGCTAAGAAAGTATTTCACCAGACTTCTTCCACCAGGAATATGATCGCCTCAATGGACAGTGAAATTAGGTGGCCTGCGAAGATGTTAGCTTTGATTAAAATGATTTTTGGTGTGAGCACAAACTCAACAAAATGCAACATTTTGGCGCAAAACGTTTTGTTCTACTCGCGAAGGTTTTGCAGCTAAGAGCATTGTGCGGTCAATGGGCTCCGGATTTGGCTGTTCCTTGCTTGGTACCCGCTTGACCATCACAGTAGCCGAAAAATATGTGTTCTAACTTTACCATCCTTTTAGCGGTTTTCTTTTCTGGTTGCGATTCCGATTCATGAAGTATGGTAAATGTTCCACTTTTTGTGATTAAAACAATCAGTAGATTCGCCCAAAAAATGTTTTTCATTAAGTTTTGGGCGAATTGCTGGAAAAACGGACGACATGATTTATGCCTAATATGGACTTACCATGAAACACATTTATGCTTTGTTTCGGAATCCACAAAGCGAGTTAATTTCTGTCCGAATGGTACACAATTCGACCATTAAAATACCAGGCAGTACACATGTTCCGAATCTAGGCCGTAACGCTATTGTGCAGCTCGCTCGGTGAAAAACGAATCTATCTTTTGCACACATAAAAGTGAGCTTTTGAAATGCAGTACTTTGCAGAATTGTTTCCTTTTGTCCTGGATTCTTTTTCGGGCACACTAAAATGCCCATCTGAGAATATTACTCTGAGAAGAACGCCTGCCATAAATTGTCTGGATAGCATAACATTCTGCTTTTTGCGGATGCTTTTCAGTTCTTTGTGATCGTGTTGGCTTTGTTCGCTTCGCTGTGAGGACTGATCCAGACACGTGACTGCAACACTGTCCGTTGAAATCACGTGACCGGCCTTCAGTATACTCAGTTGCAACCCATGTTAGACACACGGTAGGATTAACACCTATCGTGCCTGAATAATGAAAATCACTTTTAGAAAGGATGCAATTTGACATTGCAAACTTATCACAGAGACCTTGAAAATTTAAGATGCATCACCTAGTCTTATTTGACCACCATTAATAACGTCAATCCTTCCTGCAACTTCGTGATCTTCGAGAGTGCTACATTAGTTAACTTCTGATAAGGCCATGCCAAATCAATAAAAGTCCACTCATGTTGCGGAATAGAGTGGAAGTAGTGCTGGTGACCATCTATTTATTTCTGACTGGTGATCAATAAAATGATTTCTAGTGTCACCGAGCGAGGGACTTCGTCAGGCTTTTTGGGAAGCAAAATTTAACGTTTTCTTCTGGACCACATCCTTGGTGCGGGGTGGTTTCTCGTGAAAAAGAACGTGCGTCCACGAGCGATTTGCATAATTCGACCACCATCCCCTCGATGCAATAAGGTCTCACAATAAGAGCAAATGCTGTCTGAGCTGTAACATTTAGCCTTGCAAAACTAACTTAGAATAGAAATGGTTCACATCTTCAGTCATTACTATTAGGTAGGTGTAGAGACATCGACCATGTGATCGCTTGGCTAGCAATGTCACGCTGTTGACCTGGGATCGTTCGTGAAAGTCATACCTAGCTAGGATGAACAACCCAACCATTCATGAGCAATCGCCTAGGTGGATTATGGTAACTGACACACAAACTCACAAGCATAAGCTAACGCCTAAAAGCTGAAAGGCACTATGTTAGAAGTCATCAGTCTGTGTACCTAACGAATTCCGAAAGGACTCCAGACTTGGAGCAGGAGTTGGTCATCTTAGCTTGGAGACATGGATGGTTGGCCAAAGCGCAATCAACCTATGGGGTCACTCGTTTTCCCCTGAGAAAAGCATCATGCTACCTGCTGCTAGCGTGGTCCTTGAACACTTCTTGACATCTCAGCATCAGAGTAATGACCTTGAAGAACTGTCTTCTGGGATCGTTCGCTTGGCTGCCGAACGATACTCTGTACATTGGATTAGAGTCAGAGAGATAAGCACGTATGCGGTGAGAGGAAATTATGCTGAAACTGAAGATGGCGTCTGATAAGCAAACACCGGTATCATTGTTTGATAGCATAGGTTCACTGTCCATAACATCTGTTTTAGTGGTCGAAGCACGGGGTGCGAAAAGCGGATACGAGTTTCCTGGGCAGCGATTAGTGATATACACTAAAGTACGCACCATGTCCGCCAGCAATGTGTCAAGACTCAAGTACGTGACGGGTACATGCATTTTAATTTGAGGTCTTCTGTGAGCGGATGGCGGGGTGATGTATGTCGACCCTCTTCGGGAGCCGACCTATGATGAGTCCGATGCACAATGCGGAACCCCAGTCTTAAAAACATTACATCAACACCAGTGTATCTCGTTTACGTGACCTGTAAACAGGAAGTGGATGGAGGTTAAGATGTTAATCCGATCAGCGTGTTTCTACGATGTCTCCACTATTAAGAAGTGGAATATATAACCA